GGGTATAAAGGGCAGTAGACAGGAAACTCTAATTAGCCTATGCATGAGACAAGGGCCTTAGTCCACTTCTGAGGACACAGCTCTCATGACTTAACTCTCTTCTTCATGTGTGCAGCGTAATTCTAGTTCAGTGTGGCACTTAGAGGGGACTGCAGAACGCATTCAGAGTTAAGCTGAGGGAGGTGTCTCTTGGGAGAGTTTTCTGTGAACATAATGAACACTATGATTGTTGCAGGAGAATTCTTCGCACTGCCACTCCACTGTGACAATAAAGTTTACCTTGAATCAGAAGGCGGAGCTGACCAAAATTAGCCATGGAGGTTTTGAAGGACCAAGGACATATAGAGAGACACAGGAAGTAGTGGGGAGGGGCTTAGAAAGATGTACAGGACTTTTTGGATCAAGGAAGGAGGGGGGGGTCACTGGTCACTTTTCTGCTGCTTCTCTGATTAATTAGGTTTTAACCCCATATCTGACTCCCAAGTTTTTATTAATAATAGAATAACTTAGATAATTGGTACCTCTGGCGACCCATGTTGGGTGCCGTACACAGCAGTACTTTCTCATCAGGACCACCAGCTCACAAATAAAGACGTGGAGACTTATTAATTATGAAAGCTCAGCCTTAGCTTAGGCTTGTTCTCAACTAGCTCTTATAACTTAAATTAACCCATTTATATGAATCTTCATTCTGCCACGTGGCATTACCTCATCTCCATACTACCCATCCTGCTTCCTTGAGTCTGGCTGGCAACTCTGTCTTCCTTCTTCCCAGAGTTTTCTCTCTGCTAGAAGTCCTGCCTATACCTCCTGTCTAGCTATTGGCCATTCAGCTTTTTATTAAACCAGTCACAGCAATACATCTTCACATGGTGTAAAGAAATATTTCACAACACATGACGACTTCTAGGCCTCCACTCAACACTACTGACTTTTCTCATCGTGGCAGCCAAATCCCTGACAGACACAGCCTCAGAGAGGAAAGCTGACTGTAGCTCCTGGTTCTGAAGTGCCTCCGTCCACACACCATAGCAGGACAGGTACAGCGAAAAGAGCCGCTCAGCCAGGCAGCAGAAGCCTGGGGCAGAGCACTTCACAGAGCAAACCACCCAGGAAGGAAGGAGAGGACAAGAACCTGCCGCCAGTGTAGATTTCCGGCAGCTAGGCCCCGCCTCCTAAAGCAGTGGTTCTCAACCCTTCTAAAGCTATGACCATTTAACACAGTTCTTCACGTTGTGGTGACCCCCAACCATAAAATTATTCTTATTGCTACTTTATAACTGTAATTTTCTACTGTTATGAATTGTAATGTAAATATCTGATGTGCAGGATATCTGATATGCAACACTTGTGAAAGGGCCATTAGACGCCAAAAGGGGTCACAACCCACATGTTGAGAACCACTCTCCTAAAGACTCCACATCCACTTAAACAGTGCTACCTGCTGGGAACAAGTGTTCAAACGTAGTTTACACGTTCAAATCAACACACACACACACACACACACACACACACACACACACACACACACACACACACCCCTCCATGCCTTCTACATTTCTCAAGTGTCAAATGGAATGGAGGTGCTCCAAGGCTGACCAGTGGGCTGAGTTTGGAGCTCCAAAGCACAATGTTTCTGCTGTTACACCCCTTGCTCAATATGTTGACTGCCCTCCCTGAGGGCAGCAGAGTCTCTCTGGTTCAGTTTCCTCCAGCAGGGCCCGTGATAGACTCTGGAAGGCATTGTGCCTGGCATAACCAGGAAGAATCGCTTGAGAAGGTAACGAGTACAGTACCCACCTCGACAGCCTCAGGCTCTGTCACTCTGCCTCATTCTCTATGCTACAGAAAGGTCTGGACCTCGTCTAAGACACTGTTGGGGATGAGAGATATCTTGGGAAACATACAAAAAAGACCCCGGGGTGCTTTATTTTTGCAGCAGCCTATTGTGTTAAAGGAGTCATGAATAAGGAGACAGGGTTTGGAGGGGTTGTGGTGGGACATTTGAGTAGGATGCACACGTGTGTGCCTTTGGCCAGTTCCCCAAAACCAGATGCCTCCAGGACATCTGGGCAGGAGTAAGGGGTAAAGGGAAAGTGGTTGCAGATATATATATCTGTGTGTGTGTGTGTGTGTGTGTGTGTGTGTGTGTGTGTGTGTGTGTATACAGTGAGTTTCTTAACATACTTGTGCTCTGATGTTTACATAGCAAGAGTGGTCCTAAAGCACTTTGGACATAAATATGAAAACGTCAGCCCTCCAGGGCTGGGGAGATGGTTCCGTCAGTAAAGTCCCCGTGCAAGCATGAGGTTCCCCACATCCACATAGAAAAATGAAGTGTGCAATAGCACATGCCTGTAATCCCAGTGCTGGGAAAGCAGAGACAGGGTGGTCCCTGGAGCTCAGTGGCCAGCCAGGCTAGCTGAATTGGTGAGTCCCAGGTCAATGAGAGGCCTTGTCTCAAAAAGCAGAGAGCGACTGGAAAAGACCCCTGATGTTGACTTCTAGCCTTCATATACACAAACATATACACACACTCACACACACAAGATGGGTCTTCATCCTGGAGGAGGAACAGTCCTTGGGGACACAGAAAACATCTCATGCTCAGGACACAGGCTGTCCCTGTAACCACAGAAGGAATAGAATACCTCATATGCACCCAGATAGTCCTTGAGCTCCACAAAGGCGTCCCTTCTCTGCTGTCTTCCCAGGAAGTGGTATGGGATACTTCTTCAATTGGGGCGGGGGGGGGGGCACTTTCTGTCTGCCCACATGTTATTTTACGAAATCTCACATGGGGTCCCTACGGGCCTGGCTGAGTACCCTGTCTACCACTGAATGGTGATTCTCAGGGCTCCACCATCAACCAGGTCTTATCCAGGACCAGTGTCCACCAAGAGACCGGCCTGCCACTCATTTGGTCCATAAACAGGATGTGTGAACTCTGAGTGGCAGGCCTAGAAGCCATCCCAGGGCTTGGAGCTCATCTGAATCATGAAAGAAGCTCTGCTCACAGCCCCACATGGTAGCCTAGAGGAACAGGATCAGGCTCCCCCAGTGACGCATTTGTCTCAGCTCAAACACACACAGGACTGTGCTTCCCAGAGACGCGGTGTCAAAATGCTGCAGGGGACTTGTTTGGAACCTCGGTTTGGTTTTCCCTGTGTCCTGGATTTGAGGTCAGTGTTGACACATCCTGAAGTCCTGGGGCATCTCAAACAGACCTGCAGTCCCTGGTCAGGTGATGCATTTGCCAGGAGCCACACAGTCCCTGCACCGCTAAGGCCAGAGTGTGCAGACTACATCCATCGGAAAGGCGCCATTTGGTGATCTGCCCCCAGAACCCCACACCGTTCTGCCCATTGAGTGCTGCTTTCCCCAGGTCCAAGGTCAACTCCCTGAAGGATTCTGGGGAACACATTGCTGTCTACAAAACAGGAAGGGGCAACTTCTGATCCCTACCCAGGGTTCTGAACACTGGAAAATAGATAAACAAAGTGTGGGGACTGGCAGGGATGGCAGACATTGCCCAGGCTGAAGCCACCTGTTTACAGACAGGGAACAGGCGCCAGGTCTGGGGGGAGGGGATTCTCCCACAAACAGAGCCAGGTACTCATCCCTGCGGCTACCTCAGTGCCGTCTGCATCTGGGACACCATGCTCTGTTTCTGTCGCTGAGGTCATCAAATGGGCAGCTCAGCCAGGCCCCTGGAAGCGGCAGGCTTTGGTGCCAGGCAGGTCCAGACATGGGTCTAGAGTCCTGGCGCCACTACCCAGTGTCATACTCCCCAGGACCCTCTGTTTTCTTGTCTGGGGAAAAGAGTGACCCACACACTATGCTGCTGTGCTGTGAAGCGTCGCAGATGCTGCTGCAGTCACCCTGATGTGTGTTGACATCTAAGCAACACGCAGGGTTCTGTGAGCCTCACTCTTTGGGACTGTTTCCTGTGGCAAGGTCAGACTTTAGCGGAGGCCGTAACATTAGCTCAGAAGTCTTGGTGACTCCTGATGTGGCAACGTGCCTGGCATAAGCTCAGCCTGGCCTGTGCAGCCATCCTGACTATTTGTCACCGTGACCTGAGCTGCGGACACTTGTCAAAAGATTGCACTCGGCGGGAGAGTAAAGCAGACATTGATCCAAGGATGGAGCCAGAAAGAGGATGAAGGCATTCTGTACTTCAGCATCTAAGTGTTTTCCCCTTCAGAGCTGCTTCAGCCCTAAAAAGATGGAGGCTTTTCTTTTCCTGTCTTCTGGGGCCCATAGTGGGGGCTCAGGGATAGTCACACAGTCAAGAGGTGCAGAGGAAGCCTCTCCTCCAGGACTAGAGCTGCATCCAACAGTCTCCATCCTGCTTAGTGGCTGCTCCCTGGATGAGGTACCCAAGGAAGCCTGCTCTCTAGACCCAGAGCTGCATCCAACAGTCTCCATCCTGCTTAGTGATTGCTGTATGTCTGCCTGATCCCAGCCCTACACATTGTCCTGCTCAGCAGACTGGAAGGATCAGGGGCACCCTAGTCCTCCTCTACTCCAAATTTTGCCCTGGGAGATCAGCCAGTCTTAGGAAACAGTCGTCCCCCACCCCCACCCCCCAACCCCTACCCCCGCCGCCGCCGCAGTTCTTGACACTGGGCAAGACTGCCCCTTCCTGGCCTCTGATCCAATCTCCCTTTCTCCCATCTCTCCCTATTCCCCTCTGACCCTCTCAACTGCTCTTTCTGCCATGAGAGAAATTTCTGGTAGAAAATGAGTGCCTGTTTCCCTTCTAGGTGCCTCCAGTTCCCCAAACCTGAAATTCCCCCCTCCCCTTAATACAGCTTCCTTCTGAAAGAATCCAGTGTCCCAGACACCCTATGGGCGTGTCAGATCCTTGGTCCCACCCTCCCTGGATGCCTGGCCCTGGCAGGGGCTCCACAGGAAAAGGAGGGGAGCCTGAGCCCTGGATATCCCCCCCAGCCGCTTTTTAAAGGGGCAGCTGGCCCAGGGGTAGGCAGCAGGCACAATGGCACCCTGGACACTGCCTCTGTTGCTGCCGCTGCTGACGGTGGTGGTCTGGCCTCTGGCAGTACAGCCTGCGCCCCCCACCTGCTACTCCCGGATGCTGACCCTGAGCCGTGAGATCATGGCTGACTTTCAGAGCCTGCAGGCTTCAGAACCTGAGGTAAGTTCCTCACTTGCCTCCCTTGCCTTGAGAAGACAGATAAATGATAGATAGATGATAGATAGATAGATAGATAGATAGATAGATAGATAGATAGATAGATAGATAAAAAATAAGATAAAATTTTTAAAAAAAGAAACCAGCTCCCTACAGAGACTAGAAGTTGAGGGTTACATAGAACTAATGAATTAAGCATCTTTGTTTCTGTCATTAGCCTAATGACCAGCAATGTATGCCAAGGGGTGACACACTTCTTATCTGCTGAGGGACCGTGGGACAATTACTCAGCCCTTGTCTGAGCTCCTTTCTCTGTAAAGAAGGGGGATAATAGCATCCTCCTGGGTGCAGTGAGTCTGGAAGGATTGACCATAGGGGCACAGGACAAGTGTTAAGGCTGTTAGCCCTATCCTCAGAGGAAGACCTCAGGAACTCCGGGGGGTCCCCTGAGGAGTGCTTCAAGAGAAGGAAAGTCAAGGTCCTTTGCCTGCTTATCTCTAACAGAAGCAAAACACATCCGACTCCCTGAGAGCCTGGGTAAACTTCAAAAGTGTTACTCGGCTGCCTGCACACATTTCAAACAGAACCCACCATTCCTCAGGTATTAGGGTTCACATTATCTTAACACGCTGTACTTTCTTTTCAAAAGTTAAATTACATGCATTACTGTCTCATGGTAAAAGAAACCATAGAACAGTAAGAAAGCACATAAAGGACGGAGGGAAAAAAGTGTTTGCGATCCTGCCACCTAGAGGCAGCTGCTGCTATAACACTTGGAGGCCGGCATTCGCTCTCCCGGCAGTTACCCATGGTGAAATATGTGTTACATAGCACCAGGGGCTTTGCAAGCTGCATATTAACAACTCCATCTGATAAACTTACGTTCATTTGTGCAGCACTTCTTTAGACAGTTGTGCCTGAGTCCCTTGCCTTGAAACAGAGCACTGAGCTTAGGGACATCTGATGCTAGGTGGCAAGAGCAGAACTGCAGAGTGGGACCAAGTGGAAGACAAAACACCCCCTCTTCTATTTCATAGCTGGGGAACTGAGTCACAGAGAAGGGAAACAGCAGCCCAGGTCACACGGAGGTTCACAGAGGGGAGGGCACTAAATATGCAGGCCCTTGGTCCTGCGCGCGCACACACAGACACACAAACACACACACCTCTTAATGGTGCTATGTTATGTCTTACATATTTTGTTGTGTCTGTGCTATAGCTTACAGCTCTTATATAAATATATAATATTAATGGGGACAGTCAGCAGGGAACAGACTGTGACCAGCTGCCCCATCCACTTGCTTCCTTCCTGCAGGATTCATGTGTGAGGTACTTGCCCCGGCTCTACCTGGATATCCATGTAAGAGAGTGGTGCCTGGTGGGGCGGGGTGGGGCGGAGTGGGTGTGAACTGCCTCTGTTGCTGTCTGAGGGGGCAGCCAGGGTGAGGAGAGGTCTTATGCTATGTGGGAGGACTCATGAGCTCAATCTCTGGGCCTCTGGCTCCTACTTCTCCTAAAGCTCTCTCTTGTCCCCACTCTCAGAATTACTGTGTGCTGGCCAAGCTGCGGGACTTCGTGGCCTCCCCTCAGTGCTGGAAAGTGGCCGAAGTGGACACTCTGAAGGACAGAGTGCGGAAGCTGTATACCATCATGAACTCCTTCTGCAGACGGGTATGTGAGGCACTCGGAAGTCCTTTTCTCCTATGGGCATCGCAGGGAGGAGGGCTGGGGGAGGGACTTGCGCTCCAAAAAGGCTTTCTACAACAGTAGACACCCTTGTTAAGGGAGCGGGACTCAGAATGGGGCCCCTCGCCTCCCACGGATGCACTTGGAGTCCATACAGACAACTCACTTCTAGGCTATTCCATGGACACTCGAGGCAGAGTGCAAGAGCCAGAGGGAGTCACAGGATGCTTTCTGAAGGAGGAGGGTCTGGGTGGGAGTGTCACCAGAGGGGCTGGGGAGGAAGGGAACAGAAAGCTAGCACTGTGATCCCACAGATCCAGCCTGCCCTGGATGGTTCTGTAACGTGTCCTCATCTTCACCTTCCCTGACACTTCTTCACAGCTCAGGAGTCAGCTGGGGACTTAGTGGCCGTCTGGTGACATCGGGGGAAAGGTCCTAATAATGACACCCTTACAGTGTGACTGCTATACTGTCTCTCCCTAAGATACCTAGCAAGGTGACTAAATGTATAATCCTAAATTCCAAGATCCTTAAAAAGATACTGGTGTGTGTGTGTCAGAGAGAGAGAGAGAGAGAGAGAGAGAGAGAGAGAGAGAGAGAGAGAGAGAGAGAGGGAGAGGGAGAGGGAGAGAGAGAGAGAGAGAGAGAGAGAGAGAGAGAGAGAGAGAGAGAGAGAATGGACTGTGGTGTATGCACAAAAGCGGAGGCCAGGAGGAGACATCATCCTCTTGCTCTGTCACTCTCTACCTATTTCCTTGAGCTAGTCTGGCAGACAGTAGGCCCCAAATATTCTTCCTCTTTGCTCCCCACAGTACTGATATTACATGTGCACAATGATACACAGCCTCTTACATGGGTGCTGGGGATTTGAACACGGATCATCATGCTTGTGCAGAAAATGGTTTTACCTACCGAGCTATCTCCTCTGTCTTCCCCTTGTGTGTATGGGTGTGAGTGTGTGGGCAGAGTACGTGGGAGGCACGTGTATGTACACATGGAGGCACCAGCCTGGCCAGAGTAAGGCCCTCCCCTCCAGAATCCTTAGCTTGCTGGCAGTTTCTCCTCTGACAGTCCCTCTTCGTTCCTGAACTCCCTTGGTTTTCCATGGGGAAAGGAAGTTGAAATTAGCAGAGTGCCTTCTGGTGTGTGGTGTGCACCGCCGAAGTAGCTGGAAGTGGGAGCTAGCGCTTTTCTGCAATAGCTGCATCCATTCATTCTGCCCACCACTCAGCCATCTGTCCATCTGGTCAACCAAAGCCTGAGCAAATTCCAATGAGAAGGTGAAGAAAGAAGACATGAGCTCTCCTTGGGGACAGGGTGTATTTCTACACACCAGCAATGCTCGGGTGGTCTTGGAGGGTGACAGGAGCCCTAGGACTGCTCGAGGGCTTCAGAGACACCCACAGCAGCACACCAGCTCACTGCTTGCTCGTCTTTTCCAGGACTTGGTGTTCCTCTCGGATGACTGCCATGCTTTGGAATACCCGATCCCCGAGACCACGACTGCTCCAGACCAGCACAGCTAAGAAAGCAGGTGGACCAGAAGACTGACCCAGAGACCTGAAGCTGGGTCAGCTGTTCACAGCACAGCACAGCACCCCAGGCCTCCCTTTAGTGCAGCCGCTAGACCTGCCACATGCCTCTCTACCTTCTGGAATAACAGTTAGGAACGTCCGGCCGAGCATGCTTTGTACACAGGTTGGAAGTCAGCTTCTAAGTGTCTCACTGAGGTATAAGAGGCACAAACAGTAAAGTGCACACTGGCTTCTCTTAGAGGAACAAGCAGCTTGAGTGCAGCAAAAACCCGTGTCTTTGTGACTGCTTTAATGAAATAATGGGACCATTCTTTCTGGTCTCTTCTGACACCCGAAGAGGCTTCAACTCTATGCTTCCTTCCCACACAAGCTTTCCTTCCCTTCTCTCAGTTTAAAGCATTTTTACTGCTTTTGCAATGCATTTACAAGGCTTTTACGTAGTGTGAAGGAGCCACCCTTTCACTGAAGGGTTATGAACACCAAATAAACCTCTACTGTGAGAAGCATAGGTGCTGTTGTGTTGCCACATGGTGGCCACAGAGGGGTTTTTTCCCCACTTTCCCTCAGAGCACCTGCTATTCCCATGACGCAACTGTTGGTTCCTCTCCATCAAGCCCATGTCTGAGTCTGTTTCACCCCACCTGAGTAAACAGCTCTGCCAAGGAGGTTAGGAGAATTGTGTCCCTTTGGGTGTAACCATTGGGAACATATTACACTGGACCCACAGGGAGGTACCCTGCCCAGTCACAAGGCTCAGGTCTCACACATCTGGCATGGACATCGAAGGAGACTAACGGTGGGCTGAGGGATTTGACTTGTTCAAGGTCACCAGCTGTTGAGTGGGGAGCTTGGATAAAGCCAAACCTCGTGATCCCAAAGCCCATGTTCTTCCCACACTGGTCCCCCCACAGGTAAAACACACTGATTTCATTAACTTAGGAAGCCAACAGGAGAGAATCTTGGCAATGCCCCCGGGTCCTGGGAGTGCTCCCATGTGTGGCCTGTGTCACGTCAGGGTCTGAGCGGCACAGGCGACTGTCCTCATGACCTCAGGTACTCGGACTCCCAGATGATTGCAAAGGTTACCCAGGTGACAGCCACTTTGCCAGTGTCATAGGACTACTGCAATAAGGTGCCACAGAGGTGGCATGACACCAGAGAAACATGTGGTCTTGTGGTACAGGAGGCTAGGTGTTCTGGGCTAAGGTGCCAGCAGAGTGTGTGTTCTCCAAAATCCAACACAGAATTCTCTCTTGCCTTCTACAGCTATGGGCAGCCACAGCGATTCTTAGACAAGTCACCTTGGACTCCTTTCAATATATGTCACTTTTGTTGTGTCTGTCTCTGTCCCAGTCTCTCTCTTACAGGAATACCCATTGTTGAACTAGGGCCCACCTTCACCCATTATAACCTCAGGAAAGCATGCTGCCCCTGTCCTGCTCCCCTAGTGCTTGATATCATCTTAATGTGATAACCTTGCACAGAACCTATGTCCAAATAAGGACACATTCAAGTTCCAAGAGGTATGCATTTTAATGTATACATGAGCAGGTGCTCAGTTGAGCCAAAAATATTCTTTCAAGGAATAATTCCTACACAAATGAAAATAATACCACAGAATGACTTTTTATGACATTACCACCACCATCAACAATGGTGCCTGGCACAGGGTGTCGCCCATCTTACTGAATCTTCCCCCATGACATTGCTGGGGTAGGGGGTAGGTATATCAGCAAACATTGTCTCCAGTAGCAGGAAATTCTATAATTCAAGATTAAATGGTAGAGAAGGGATTCCAGACATACAGATGAGTGCCTAAATCTTGGTCAGGTGGCTCTGAGAATCCCTTCACAATTTCTCAATAGCAGAAGCAGACCATGGAGGCCAGGCCTAACTTAAGCATCTCAGATATCTGCATGTTCCTTTCTTCTATGGTTACCAAGTGCTTGTCATGAACATGACAGACACTGAAATGAAAAATAAAAGGTTCCTTCTCACAGCTCTCCAAGGAGATGGTCTGCAAACTCGGAGACAGCAGAGGACGAGGCATGTGAGTTCAGGAGGCACCGGAGTTTCTTGGAGGATCCAGGTTTCAAAAGGACCTGAAACTGGTCTAGAACTGGTGAGCTATAAAGAGGAGAAGGCACGGGCATGAGGCTCCAATGTGAGCATGGCTGGAGCTGAAAGCATGGTAGAAATGGGACCTGAACAACCCTAGTGATGGTCAGGCCTGGCCAGGCAGAGCCTTCTGTCCCCAAACCAGGGGACAGGACTGGGGTCACAGAAAGGAGAACCCCCTCCTAGCAGAAAGCTTGGGACCTGTCAGTTCCAATTGAGGTTATCAATTCCTGAGGGGTTCCCTGCTTTGGACTTCAAAACTAACCAATGAGGTTGCTGCTTTCTGGGTACCCGTCCATCACTAAGCCAGGGGTAAGAGCACAGCCCCTGACCCAGGCATCTTCCTTCAGAATGAACTGGTCAGTCCTGTCTCTTCACATCTGTTGATGTCTCCATCTGCTCCTCCCTAACGTTGACGTTAACTCTTGACACTCATGCCATCCAGATGGGGTTCAGCAACTCAGTTTTCCCACGGGTCTCTCTCTACTCTTCAGTCTTTTTGTCTTAAGTAAGGGTATGCCAATCAAGCTTCTCCCATGTCTTCCCCATCAGGATTGTCTGTGCTGTGGGATTGCTGCCTGTTTGAACTGATTCAATCCCCCAGTGAAGCCAGCAAAGGCATTGAGTGAAGAGGTGTTGAGGAACGAGCCCCAGCTTGGCACCGGGTATCTACGAGCTGTGGGCATATTTCCTTAGCCTCTGGGCCCCACTTTCATCAGTAAGATAGGGGTGGTGATAAACAAATTCCACAGTCTAGTGAAACTACACAGGACCTCCACATAGAAACTACATGTAGACATCTAGCCAGCTGCTTTGACATCAGAAGCCAGTGCTGGGGGAGCCAAGCATTTGGGGCCACCTGCAACATGCAGTACCCATGCAGCCCAAGAATCCATGCATTTCCCTTTCCCAACATAAAAAACACCATTGCAGACAAGCCTTCTCCTGACCTCTGCCCAGGACAATAGCTTCCAGGCCCATGTTCTGACACTGTTCCCTTCCCAGTAAGCCATTCTCTACCTACCAGACAGGGCAACCATGCTACTGTGGACATTTCCCATCCTTCCTCTGATGTCCTCCAGTGGTTACCTGAGGCCCCGGCTGACCTTAGCCACTGACCAACCCCACTTCCATTCGTATCTAGCACACATTCCTCAGGCCTTTCAACCCAGCCTTTCCAGGGTGCCACTCATCTTACCCTATGCTACCATCTTGGAAGCCCATGGGATTCTCCCATTGCCCAAGTGTGACTTGTGCTCCGAAACTTTGGCTCAACAGTCAGCTCTCTTTCCTGTATCCGTTTAACTCTTGGTCATCATCATGGTCACTAGACTGGGCCCAGCCCACCACTTCCTCTTCATCATCCTTCACACCTACACCTTTTCTACTTCGAGTCCAAGGCTCTCCTTCTCTATTCACTTCATCTTGGTCTCCTGGCCTCGCTGCCTGTTCCATCCTTTGCTCCTCAGCATGGCTGATCCACACTCAGCCCTGGTCTGTTCCTTTCCTCTGCCTGAGCTGTTTCTTGAGAAATGACCCCACCAGTTCTGTGGCTCCAGAGACCGTGTTTACACATGGACCAAGAAGGGAAGAACCCATTTCAGCTCCTCTCTTTAACACATAACCTTCAGCCAGAACATCAGAAAATCCCACACCAGGGACAAAACTGGAGAGATGGCTCGGTCAGTTTAGTGCTTGATGCTCAAGCATGAGAACCCGAGTTCAGATCCCCTGTATTCAAGTAAAAAATGCCAGGCATGGTGACTCCCAGCATAGGGAAAGCAGAGCCAAGCAAATTCCTTGGGGATCATTGCCAAACAGTCTCAGTGTGAGACTCTGTCTCAAATAATAAGGTAGAGAGCAACTAAAGAAGACACCTGTATTAGCCTCTGGTGTCCACATGTATGCACACCACATAGACATATGAGCATAGACACCCACAGACCCACAGATCCACAGAACCATAGACCCATACACCCACAGACCCACAGCTACACAGACCCACAGATCTGCAGCTACAGGGACACAGACAGACACACACAGAGAGAGAGAGAGAGAGAGAGAGAGAGAGAGAGAGAGAGAGAGAGACACTCTAAGCTGTACAACGATCTGAGCACTTCTCATTATACCACTGCTGCCCACCCCATCCCAGGCCATGTGAATTTGTTGCCCCGGATTATAGCCGTGGCTTCCTGAGTGACCTCTTGCTAAGCTTGCCTTCCTGCAGCTTGTCCTCAGCTCGCTGCGTAGGTTGACACATTAAAATCTGCTCAGGTCCTTTTGCTCACAACCCCTTGGTGACACCCCATTTGACTCAGGGCAAAAGCCAAGGTCCCTAGCATGGCCACAAAAGCCTTCCTCAACTGCCCCCGCTGTCTATCTTGTTTCCTCTGCCTGTGTGGTCCCGGGTTGATTTCTCATGTTTTCTTATTTTCCTCCACTTTCCCAGTCTCAACAGGAAAAGAATGACAGTCCTGTCCCCTGAAGGTGGTGATGAAGCATCTAAAACACGTGTTGTTAAGTAGCCGTGCTGTCCTGGCATTAGCTACCCGGCATGGCCTGCCATCATTCCCATCATTCCCACGTTTATCACAAGCAGCAGATCTCTGTGGACTATTTCTTGCAGTAAATTGCGGAGCTGTCCGATTCTCCACCACTTCCTGCCCTCTGTCCCTCACTGATCCATTGTCCTTGGGCTTCCTGAACGGCCAGATCAAAGCAAGTGAGACGCCACTTACAATTCTCCAGCAGCTTCCTTCGCCTCTAGGGTCGACTCTGGTGTTCCTCAGCCCTCGCTTGTAAAAACAGCTCTAAAGGCTGCCAACAATCTCCGAGCTGTGGAGCCCACAGTCCCGAGCCTCATCTTCACTGACCTCTAAGAATTTCTGAATTTTTTTCCGCTCTGTAGGTCAGTTTTCCTACTGCTGATACTGTGGAAACATAGACTGTACATCTAGAAAGTGAAGAGGCTAGCTGTGACTCACGGTTCTAATCCAAGGTTTGGGGACCACATCCAGGGACAGCAGAACCCCCGGAGTAATTTGGAACATCATATAACAAGTACATGGAGCATGTATATATAATATATATATATATATATACATATATATTATGTATCCTTGTCTCTATCTTCTCATGAAAATACCAGTATTAAATCAATAAAGCCCTACCCTAATGCCCACATCTACTCTGTGTGTGTATTGTGTGTACAAGTTTGTGTGTATGGACATGTGCTTGTGTGCACATACATGTGAAGGACAGATGTCAATGTTGAGTGTGTTCCTCAGTTAC